CTAGTCTAGATCTAAAACGTGAACCAAACCCAACCTATATGTCGTGTACATGTCGCTAAACCAAGTTAGCTTTGCCGGCATAATAAATAGATAAACTTTTCTTGTGACTTGGTTGATTTAATTTACAACAACAATGTATTCAGTATTCATTTGGTTCCCCTTCAAAAATATCATGTGAACGCCTTAGAACGAAGCCTTAGGTTTATGCATGGAAACAAAGTATGCCTAAAGTTAAACATGTATATTCTTTACCGATATAGTGTATCACATATCTGTGTCCATACAGTCTCAATATTTTTACATATATATTAGGTTCCTGTCCTCGGGTATATCTGACCTTTGCTCAATTGTATAATTAGATTTATTCAAGTAACAGATTACAATATTGCAGCAGTATGTTTTCTTTCCTCAAATCTCCTTCATAGTATTAACTATTTGGGTTATTTTGATTGAAGCCATTACAATTTTCACGTTTCGGGATTTACCATTACAATTTATCTAATAGGAAATTTGCCATTATAATTGTCGAACTCGCTGACAAATGCCATTATGGACGTATCTGGCGTCCTTGGGCCCACCTGCAGGTGATGTATCTATGTTGTATTCTCGTATAGACCAAATTGCCCTGGGGGACAGAAGGATAAGGCCCAATTCGTATCCGCTCGATTCATCATTTCAGCGATACGCGTCCGCGGCTTCCAGAACAGCAACCTTGATTCATGTCTCGCCGGCGGCGGCTTTGGAAACTGGTGTGGGCGCAGGCTGCCAGTCGCGGCAGGTGAGTGGTCGCGGGCGGTCCGTCACTACGGTGGCACGGCGGGCGATCGCTGCGGAGGCAGTCGCGGGCAGGCGCAGCTGTTGCGGGCGGGCCGTCACTGCGGTGGCGCGGCAGGCAGTAGCTGCGGAGGCAGCCGCCGCGTTCGTAGCTGGCGGATGCGGGTGCTGGTGTCCCAGTCGTCGTTGCATCGTTGCAGGCGCAGGTGGCGCAGCCAGCTTGGAGAGCCGCCGCCGCCGAGAACGAATCGAGGTTGGTAGGGTACGTCGCGCTGAATGGGTCTCTATGTCCGGGATGGCCTTATCCTTTTGTCCCCAGGGGCAATTTGGTCTCTATGGAAATACAGTATGGGTACGGCACCTGCGGGTGGGCCCAAGGACACCAGATACGTCTATAATGGCAATTATGAGCGAGTTCAACAATTATAATGACAAATTTTATATTAGATGAATTGTAATGGCAAATCTCTAAAACGTGAAAATTGTAATGGCTTCGATCAAAATAACCCTAACTATTTTGTTGATTTAATTCGGCTGGTTTTGTTGGCCAAGGACCTTTCACAGGTTGTTTCCCTTTTTTTTTTACCAGAAACATGTGCGTCACTCCTGATCTTCGTCTTATTCTTCCAGGAAAACCTCATGTGCTGATGAGTTCATGTTATCTATTTTGGGAGATGGCAGAGGAGGTCGAGTCCTAAATTCTTTTCGTTTCTTTTAATGTTTGTAAGCACCCTAATTTTAGATATTAATAACTTCTACTATATGTTTACTACCGTTTAACGTATTGTGTTATATACCCCTAAAATAGAACTCATGTCTTACAATTGAGGAGTGAAACAGTTTGATGTTTTTCCTCCAAAGATCAGTTTCCTTTCTCTGTCATGTACACATGTTTGCTCGGTTACTACTTAATGGTTCTTTCGACATTTTTTCTGACATTTTATTAGGTTCTAAACTCCCATGTTCCAAATTTTCTTCCACACATTATTTTTTGTCTTTATGCAATGAACAATTCAACTGGACTTTATTTTATCTATAATACTATTTCAAAATATATCTATTTGGACAGAACAACACACTATGCCGTTGTTTCCACAGAACATCTATTATTTAAACAGCTAGGAAACGGGCGTTCGTTGGTCCGGACGAACCGTTCTGTGCGCCCACGTTTTTTTAATACGTGCCATCGGGTTGATTTGTTTTAAGCGTCCGGACCGACTGCTCCGCGGCCACGCCCCGCTCGTGTGTCGTTGCTCCAGACTGCAATGGCTGCTCATTGGGTCTGGTTATATTTTAATCTATTGACGTAACGTAAGAAAAATATGTGCATGTACACTTATGTACGGAGGTCTCATCAGAAGTTCAGAATGTGAATACGTGACATGCATGTATACGAGAAGATGACATAATCAACATGCATGGAGAGTTGTGCTGAATGACCAGCTAGAGCAACGTATGACCACCGTCTATACTTGCATGCATGTGCACAAAAATGCCTTTGGTCCAAAAATAATTATAGACCACAAATATACATGAGTCTGATTATATTGTGAGTCAATTTAGTATGATCAACATAAATAGCAACCATTTCTGCCCTGATATGTTAGAGCCACACATAAAATATTTGTATGGTTTGCTTAATAATTTATTTTGCCTGATTAACCATAGTTAACACTATGCCAAAATTTCATCATGCAATGTCTGGACGGACCGCTCCGCGCTCCGTGTCCACGCCACTCACTCCGCGCCGTTGCTCGCTCCGACCAGCGTGGATTCGCCCTAGCCGTCGCACCCCTCGCCTCCTGTGGCTGTCTCGCAGGGCCGCCTCCACCGCGCCAGTTCGTCGCGGTCGCCCTCCCATGTTGCACTAAAAGCATATGTTATAAACATACGTGTCAAGTGTTTCAGATATTCCAGATTTATGTTGCAAATGTTACATGAGGATATTGCGAAAAAGTAGATCTGGATGTTGCATATGTTGCAATGGCTATACACGTATGTTGCAAGTGTCTATTCAAAATGTTTCATCTACTTCAGACGTATGTTGCAAGTGTTTTATCTTAATGTTGCATATGTTGCAGTGGCTATACACATATGTTGCAAGCATATGTTCCAAATATTCCATCTGCTTCAGACATATGTTGCACGAAGTGCTTTCATGTTGCAAGTGTTTCATGAGTAGACGCAGGCGGTCCCCGCAGGCAAAGGCGGTCCCTATGTGCACGATACAGATATTGCAAAAGTAGATCTGGATGTCGCATATGTTGCAATAACTATACATATATGTTGTAAGTATCTATTCAAAATGTTTCATCTACTTTAGACATATACTGCAAGTGCTTTTATCTGGATGTTGTATATATTATAGTGGCTATACATATACATTGTAAGCGTATGTTCTAAATGTTTGATATGTTTCAGACATATGTTGTAGAAAGTGCTTTCATGTTGCAAGTGTTTTGTGAGCAAACACATGATAGATACAGCGTCTGACGGATCTGATTTGTCCGCACCTCTGGGCGGCCATTTCTTTTTTCGTGTGTTTGTGTTCTCAACGTTGGGACTACTCAATAGCAAAGGCAAACGATCAATAGTTCAAGTTCAAGATTAGTTGCTCTGGCTTAGAATGCAATTTGTAACCTCCACTACCATTTCTCCACGTCTGTAGCAAAAACTGGCGCAGCCTAGCGCATCCACCGTGCAGAACACACAGGTATCCAAATGCTTTCTGGCATTCCATGGATTGGGTAAATTCCAGATCCCACCACTCCACCTAAGGCATTGTTTGAATGCGTATATATTCATCTCAATTCCCATGTATTAAAGTAGATTAAAGTAAAATTAAACTAAAATTTATTTCAATCCACTCCAACACATCTATATTGAATAAAATACACGACTTAATACACGTGTGGAAGTGGAACCATAACCACCGATGACCGCCCATGGAATGCCGGAAAGCATTCAGATACTCTTGTGTTCTGAAGAATTGCATGCACGCCCGTGATATAAACAACTTGAGCTACAAATTTGAATTTAAGGCCTGTTCGCTTATCTGAATTCTGGAGAAATCTGGATGGTTTAGAGGAATGCTGGAGAAATTTATGCGAAAAAACACTGTTCCGGATAAAAAAATAAGCAGATCAAGCCAGGTTTAAGGACACGTGAACAGGGCCTTAGTAGTCAGACCGTCGATAAAAAAAAAAGTTCGAAGCCTATCGTTCATCTATATATAAAAAAAAAACTACTATTAATTTAATAAACCTGCCATAAAATTACAAAAAACACAAAAGCAGACTTTCACCTAGAAAATAGAGAAAATAACATGCATGAGAATGGCTGAACATATTACATGTACATGTAATATTTATAGGTTAACTAGAATCGTTGATTCAGGCATTCAGCACTGACCATCCAAGCACACACCAGACGTACACACATGCATGGTTTTTAAAGTCTGCTACAAAATTATAATTTGAAGTCTACTAGGTGTTCTAGCTATGAAGAATTTCTTTAACATGAAACATCCAAACAAAAGACAGCTATGTATTTGGCAGCAACAGATAACTTTGGAGACAACTCCAGCACTAACAACTCTCCGTCCTTCCATCAAAACTTTTTTCCCTGCATCATTTGAAACAAAAGTAAGACAAGATTATTTGACATAGAACTTCAAAGATATTTGAAAATAAAATGGTCTCTCTACATTTCCTCTTGCTTCTTTGTCTCAGCATTCATGCTCACTAACAGCTAGAAATTCACTGCTTCATTTTTCAACCAAAGAGATATCTATTATGTTATGCAGATTGATAGATGCAAGAAGATTGCTAAGTAATTTCAAAACTACAAACTGCGATCAGTCACAAAGACAAAGGATTGCAATAATTTACACTATCAGAATTTCTGTGCAGACCGTACAAGTTTCTAAGAACTGTTACTTGTTCTTAGAAAATTCATCGCCAAGTTCCAACAAATAAGCTTCACTCCAATAGGATATGCATATTTGGAACTGTTTTAACATGTGTATAGCATTGCAGCAGACTGACTAGTACATCTGCAGATGAACAAAATTCTTTTCTGCCTGATGCTCCACAAACAATTCAACCTACGGGCTACCCACAAAAGTGATAATGCATTCATCAATTTCGCAAAACTAATTAATATATTCATCAGTTTTACAGAGGCAATAACAAGATGGAAGAGGAGCAGTACCAGATTACGCTGTTCTAATCTTCTTCCTTAACCACTTGAGTCGTGTTAGAGTCTTTCGCGGTCATGAAAATGACCCTGTTTTGTGGATCTTTGAATACATCAGAAGCCTCGACCTTCTCATCATCTGATAGATCTTCCATGTTGTCCACAACAGCAATGCACACTTGGATGGGGAACTCATGCGCATTAGTTCTTGCCCTTTTCTGCTGCACGGGTTCAGCCTCGGCTTGCTTCTCTTTCAGTTCCAGAAACCATCCCATCATCTCAACAACCTTCCCATCTTGTCTGCGTTTGAATCCTGCTCTTTCCGCTTTATCACTAGACACTGGATTTTTGTTTCTAGAAGTAGCAGGCCTTTTCTCTCTTTTGTTTAATGATGAACTAGTGGTTGGTTGGTCCACAATTCTGACCTCATCATCATCATCCATAGCATGTCCAGAAGGGTCAAAAGGGCCCTTTTCAGTTTCTTCCCCAATATAATTGGCTTGTGTGATGTCAGATTGAGAAGGTTGTGTGGTAGCACCTCGATAAGGATGTGTGACAGGAACTTGGAAAAAAGGATGTGTGATAGCACACCTCCATAAGGCTGTGTGACAGGAACTTGGGAAGAAGGTTGTGTGTGTGTGATACCACCTTGAGAAGGCTGTGTGACAGGAATTTGGGAAGAAGGTTATGTGATACCCCCTTGATAAGGCTGTGTGACAGGAACTTGGGAAGGGGCTATGGAGGTAAAGTTTAAGGTTCCCTCAGCAGTTTGTCCTGCACCAAAAAATGAAGTAACTAATGATTAATTCAACTGAATGCGACATGTTTGAATGCAAGGAAGATAAAGCTTTAGCATTGATGATATACCATCATATAGCTCTCCTAAAGATTCAAACAATGGGAAAGATTTATTCCGAAATCTCTTGGCCTTAGGATGAGACTATTGAATACAATAATGAAAAGTAATTAGCAATAGAGGTTAAACCAACAATACATTTAAGAATTTAACAAGAATTAATAGTTGTAATAGACAAGAAATCTCACAGTAATAATGTTGTTCCAAACAGCTTCATCTCCCTCAATCCTGCACAGCTTTTCATTCCAATGTGCACCACTTTGTTTTCTTGCTTCTTTTAGAACTCTGTATTACCTCTTTAACTCTCTGTCTCTGTCTTGGATTTGAACCTTCGTAAATCTGACATACGGGAACTTCTCATGGAATAATTTGACAATTTTGTTCCATGCTTCTGTTGACCATCCATTCTGTCCCCTATAACATTCATTGTTGTGCTCATGAAGAAGGTCAATCAAAGCCTTTTCAAGTCCCGCATCCCAACTCGCTCTAGAATGATCAACTGTCACAAAAAATGTAGCAATTAGAATGGAATTTTTGTTGCAACAAGCCTACTTGCATCTACTATTCAATTAGAAGCAAGAAAGCAACAACGGCCAGTACAGCTGTTGAAAAATGAAAGTTCAGCAGGCCCTAAAGCAGCAACAGCCAGTATAGCAGCAACAGCAGCTAGTACAACCTACTGAACTGAACAAGTAATAACAGGACATACCTTTTGGTGATGGTTTTCTCTTTTGTGTGCTGGAAATCTTTGGAGAAGGCTTTCTTTGGACTGCTGCAGCTTTCATCAAATTGATCCTCGGAGACCCCCTTCCAAACATTATTACTGTAAATACAAGAATCTGATATTTAGCGCATTATTACTGTAATAAAAAAACAGGTTGTTGAAAATAGAAGAACCTGATAGGGAATAAAAGTAAAAAACACAAAAGCAAATTAATTCAAAACTAGTTAAGACTCACATTTATTAGGACACGTTACGACTGTAGTCATTCCACATATTTAGTGCTATCATATCTCTAACTGTGTTCCCATCCTCTATTTGGCTGCTAAGAGACATCACATCATTATTGTAGTGGTTGTCACCTCCAGGGAGATCAACAAAATGTTCTGGACATATATTGCTTGTTTGGCGATTCAACCAACCCTCATCCCCATTTTGCATCCGTGTAAGATTGTGGAGCACCATTGCTGTAGCTGGTATCTTCACTTGGTTTTCAATGGGAAACGCAACGAGACAATTCCTTTCATGTACTCCTAGAAGCTCTCTAACCTTTTCTTCACCAGACTGACTTGAAGTATGCATTGCACTTTTCTCTCTCCCTCATTACTAGTTAGAAGATATAGGGCAGGCAAAAAGAACAACATAATCTCCTCATCCTCCTCTTCTTTTCTCTTCCTAATTATCAAATCCATTATCTTCTAACTAGAAGGAAAACTGAAGCTAAGATGGCTGCAGCTAGCAAAAAGCAAAAAAAAAAAAGGCTTCAGAAAATAACTAGCTACAGCCCAGAGGTACAAGGAAAAACCACATTGTTAACATGGATATTTCATTAACAGAGCGCATGAGATTGAGTATACATTATGACAGCACATAACACTCAATAACAGAGCATAATAACAGAGAAATTCGAGTATTTTATTACGCGATCATCAATCAGACAAAGCCTAGTATCTAAACTTAGTGCTCCAACATGACAGCAACACTACATAAACAATAGACCATCAACTTCAGAAACTGTTCACCACAGTTTAACCCATTAGATGGTAAACCACATATGCAGTATGCACATATAAATGGCACTGTCAATGGCAGTTTAACCATCCTTCATCAAAAAGGAAATCCATAAACTATATTAAGGTCGGATGCGCATAGGAAATAAACAAGGTAGATACACAAGTTTATAAACACAGATAAGAAAATTGAAGGAGCATAAGCTTTGAAAATTAAGGATAGCCTCAAGCTAGCCTCTGCAAGCTACCACCTGCCCCTGCACGGCACTGCATTGGAGGCAACAAGATGCTCTCCCTGCCATCTGGGTCTCTCATCTCATGATGGTTTTCCTAAAACAACTAGGGGCTGGGGCTGGCTGAGACTGAGATCCCCCCCCCCCCGACTTGACCCTCACCCAGCATGCATGCACACCACAGCACAGCTTCCATCACCAATCACCATGCATGATGACTTGCCAGGACAGAGGCATCCATCCATCTAGCAGCCTCCAGGGAGGTGAAAAAGAAACTACTACACCACACACTACCATGCCATTGGCCATTCCAATGCATGCTGATCTCATGAATAGAAGATTCTCCTCTCCCACACCAGTGCAGTGCCGGGTATATATAATAGATATGTCACAACTAAATCAGAATTAACCATGAATGCAGAAAGAAAACTTGCAAAGAAATTAATGATTGGGTATTGCCTTGTATTAAAAGGTTTTTTTTGTAAAAATTCAGATAATAACAACCTGCCAAACCAGATATTTGGTCTGTAACTACAACCAAATATATTTGCAATTGAGTATACATTATGACAGCACATAACACATCATTACATCTGCCTTGAACAGTGGCGGAGCCAGGATTTCACGGGAGGGTATTCCACATAAAAAAAAGATTCAATACAAATATGAAACAGTAATAATCGAAGTACAAGTTCCTCGTCTACGTTACAAGAATACAATGCAAAAAAAAAAAGCAAAATCTTCAATTATTACACTGAAGAATCAAGAATGGATCTGGGGGTTTTCTGTGTTCACCTTGTTGTTGCTTCAAACCGGAGTTGGGAGGGGGAGGGCTGGATGCCCGGACAGCCAGAGGGGTGCTGCTGCTCTGCGGCAGCCTGCAGAGACCACCGGCCGTCGCCGCAGCCAGAGGGGTGCCGGGCGCAGGGCGCTGCCGCGCTGGTTGCCAAGGCCCGACTGCCCGTGGGCCAAGGGGCGAGGTGGCGACCGGCCGAGGGCCGAGGGGCAGAGCCCACCTGGCGACCTGCCGTGCCACTGCACCGCCGAGCAACAGCCGCCGCCGTCGCTTCCGCCCTTCCGGTCGATGCGAGCGACGGACGGGAGTAGGAGTCACGGACGGGAATACGGTTGATTTTTTTTTTTTTTTTTTTTTTAGCGGAGGGAATACGGTTGATGGCCTGATGAGTTCGTTGGGTGCTGCTACTAGTGTCTATTGTCATGTTAGGCTTATTATGGGCTATGTTTGCCGGATTTGCCGGGTTCAACGAACTAACATGTTGTATCATTATATGTATGTATACATATATTTATATTTCAAAACGTATATACATATATTTATGTTTTGTTTTGAAAAATATGGGTATTCCATGGAATACAGGGGCATTCCCCTGTTGCCACCCATCCTTGATTATTCGTACTTATACTTCCTACCCAAGAACTCACTACAAATCAGCCTCACATTGTGCACCGCATATCAAGCAAGCAAGAATGACAAAGTCTTCCGCTATTCATCAATTTCCCAGAACTAAATGATGAATTCATCATATTCGTAGAGCAGTAACAAGATGGAAAATGAGCTATACTCCTACCAAACAACGAACAATTCAGTCCACATCATCCATTAGTCATTAATAATAATAAAAAGGAATACACAAGATTTGAACCTGGTACTTAGTCAGGTGGCAGAGGAGGGCACAATTCAGTCTTCTTGGGGCGAAGGTTGAGGAGGAGGAGCTTCTCCTTCTGGTACACTACCACTTATCTTGGATATCCTAGCAAATCTAGCATAGGAACGAGGGTTTCAACAAAGGAGAAGATCAAGAGAAGGGGTGGAAGATGGAGGAGGAGAGATGCACCCAGTGCATTTGCCCATAACCCATCTCCTGGTTCACAGCCTTCACAACTCTGACCCGGTCGTGCCATATCGTCGTGCACGGGAGGGCGTCCGGTACAATGTGTCTCGTCTGTAGCGCTCTAGACTTTGGTGAACACGTGACATGGCGGGCCACTCACCGTTGATCCAACAGACTCCATGGAGCACGCACCACCCCACGGGGAATAAATTGGGTACGGATGGTGCGGACGCCCCAGCGAGACGGTGACACATGGATCTCAATCTACCGGCTGACTTCGCCTTCCCGCGATGGCTCGCTGCCAATCTGGCTAATTGGCTTGGCTGCTCTAGCCTCCAAGTCTCCAACGTGCACGCGAGCCCGCCTCATCTTCGGCCGCCGCCGCCGCTACCACTCATCCGCGATTTGTTCACCACGGGCCGCCGTCGCCACTTGCCGTCGCCGCCGCCGCGAGGATACTCCCTTTTTCTGTGATTTTCGCAGCTATTTTTGGGGATTTTTTTGTTCTTCGGATTAGACTGCACGCTGGGGAAATTTGCTGAGGGCTTTTGGTGCTAGGACATTTATTAGCGAGGAGGTTAACAACCGAGGTCACCATAACAGCATCCAGCTCAACACAGTTACATATTTTTATCGAAATATCTTTCTAGCAGACGAGGACATTGCGGTATCTCGCTGAACTCTGAGTAAAAAATCTATAAATCCTCCTTGGATGTATGGTGCAAATATGGCAGAAGATTGCTCGGGCATACAATTTGTAATGTCAAATTGATGACTTACCATTAATATCATATAGCCCTGTTCGCTCAAACTTATCAATCATGGTATAATATTTTTTTCTCTTACAACAAATCAGCGAAAAGTACTTTTCAATCTAGCTTTTCAGCGAAACAAACTGTTACAGGGTCGTCACCATCTGAAACATCAACATTAGCAGCAGCATCGAAGGCAGCGTTTGCTTCCACGGTACCTGCGCGCATGGTTGCTGATCTGCCTGCCCTGTCTTTGATTGATTTTTTTTTTTGTCACGCTAAGTGTGATGGCGGCGGCCGTCTCCCTCAGAGCAAGTACAAAATTAGCTTATATAGCCAAGCTAATTAATATTTTTGCTGACGTAGAAAAGAGAAGAAGGGAGAGAAGACAGCTTGACTTTCATGTGAGCAACCAGCTAGGCACAGAATTATAGACACTATTGGGTCCCACTAAAAATGTATGTGGGGAGGAATAGTAAAGAGAATGGAAACATATAATAACTAGAAGAATGTCCTGCACGTTGCTGCGAGAATCGCTGGTGAAATTATACTGCTTATATTTACTAATATATGAATAAATAAATATCATAATATATGTTAGTGGATGATTTTTAGCATTCTGATGTGGACAACTAAATATATGTTAGTAAATGGTGTGCTTTTCTAATGTGAATAGCTTGAATGAAGACATAATGACATGTGTTAGGTGGATATGTTAGTGGATGTTGATATGGGCACTTTGCATGGAGAGATAGTTACATGTGCTAGATAGTGGGATGTTGTAAAGGATGCTGACGTAGACACTTTGTATGGCAAGATAAATTGTTAGTGGGATTTAAAAATATAAGATACTAGAAGGATACCCCACGCGTTGCCGCGGGTTTTTTGCTGAACATAAATCTGTTATATACATATCATTACTATATGATATTCTATATATTGTGTATACACATGAATTTGAATTGCACGTTATTTTATTGTATCAGATTTCATAAAAAATTGGTAAGTTAATAAAAAAATCAATAAAATATTTTATTACGTTATAGAGGAATATGTGATAAAACAAATAGCGTATGTAGATGACTTGTACGTTAATGGATTAAAGATTTAAAGTATTGCACACGATACAGATGACGTGGATATTTTCTGTAATTAATAAGCGATAACATGGACTTAGCGTGAAATGATATGGATACCTTGCATGAAGAGATAAAACATCTAGTGAGATCATTTAGGCTCCGTTCGACTTATCTTATAATCCGCACTATTTAACTTTTTTTTTCTTCAGCCGGAACAGTATTTTTCTCTCACAACAATTCAGCCAGAACAGTATTTTTTAGTCAATTCAGCAAGCCGAACGTGGCCTTATTGGAGAATGATGTGGACATCTTGCATGGAGAGAAAGATCATCCAGTGAAGTTTAGCTTTATAAAAGTGTATATAGATATAGATATAGATAAAGAAATTTTGTAGATAAATTAAAAACTAACTATTGTATAACTTGATTTTTATAACTTACTTATAGCTAAGCACTCGGAGCGCCCTCAACGAGTTCGTTTCACGGTGGCGTGTCGTAAATGATCATAAATTTCTAGTCGGAATAGTATTTTTTTTCTC